AAAAAAAAAAAAAAAATCTCAGTAAAACCGAATGACCTGCCCTGGGCTGCATCGCAGTGGAACAGTTTAGGAAAGGCTCTCGTGTTGTCTCAGCACAGGGGAGGAAAAAAAGGAACAAAACTCAGGACCCCTCCACGCAGTGAGTGCTTGCTGTTGGTGGTTCCGCTCCTGCTCACAATGAAAACCCACAGGCTCCTTCTCCCACTCACTCCTGCCACTCTGCGTTCAGTCCTGACCTGACCATCATCCCTCCACCCCCAACCCAGCTCACACACTCAGTGGCCTGGGAGTGCTCCCTCCCTCCTTTCTTCAGGTCTCTGACCAGCCAGCATCCCTCAAGGGGGGCTCCTGGCAGGGTCACCCTCCCCGAAACACTCCATCCTCTTCCACTCTGCTGGACTGGCTCTTATCATCACTCCTTGCTTGGTTTTTGTTGACTTCTCCCCTCTAAGGGCACATCTTTTTCTCCGTGAAATGTGTCTGGGGCTGGGTGCGTTGGCTCACGCCTGTAATCCCAGCACTTTGGGAGGCTGAAGCAGGTGGACCGCTTAAACCAGGAGTTAGAGACCAGCCTGTAATCCCAGCACTTTGGGAGGCTGAAGCAGGTGGACTGCTTAAACCAGGAGTTAGAGACCAGCCTGGGCAACATAGTAAAACCTTATCTCTACAAAAATACCAAGAGATTAGCTGGGTGTGGTGGCACACCTGTAGTCCCAGTTACTCAGGATCCTGAGGTGGAAGGATTGCCTGAGACTGGGAGGTTGAGGCTGCCATGAGCCATGATGGTCGTGATCTTGCCACTGTACTGTACTCCAGCCTGGGTGACAGAGTGAGACCCTGACTCAAAAAAAAGAAATGCCTGGCATACAGCAGGTACTCAATAAATATTTACCAGGTGAATGACTGGATTCCAAGTAACTCTGACATACCATCTCATGTACCACCTGTGAGGGAAATCTCTTCAGCTCCTGTTGCTAAATGGAGAAACAAAGCCACAGAGAAGCTATGCAGTATCCCCAAGACCTCCAGTCTCCCAGCAGAGAGCGGACCAGACGGGCGGGCCCCACTCCTTCTTCTCTGCGTCCACTGTACCACCCAGCTGGGATAGACAGCGGCCTGATACAGCACAGGGAATAACACCCGATGCCCCAGATACGAGGCCCTCTCCTCCCGAGAAGATGAGGGCTAGAAGGAAATCATGCACAAGTTCCAAAGAGCAACTTCTATTTACTTTTTTTGGGTTGATTTTGCCCAAGTACTACTGTCTTAGTTGGTGAAAAGAGAAATTTCAGAAACCAACTTGAAATTCCTACCCGCATATTAGGGAGGATGAGGAGGCCAGAAGAGGGGAGAAGATGCACGGGGGCAGGCTCAGGGGATGCTGAGCTGAGAGGAAGGGAGGGTGCTGCGTGTGGACCTGCATATTCCCATCCCGGGAGCTCTGGCAATCTACTGCAGGCCGATCCGGAGAGTGCCCAATCGGACCTGCATCTCAGGGGGCGGCTGGCGGAGGAGACGGAGAGGGTGGGAGAATAAGGCAGACGACAATGAGGAGAGCCTGAATCGGCGCTGTGGTTGGTGTCCCGGGGCGGGGACTCAAGGTACAGCTAAAAGGAGAGACGTTTACTACATCGTTCCCAAGTCACCTACGTAGTGTGTGAGCTACGGTCCAGGG